ATTCACTCAATAAAGATCAGAAGAAGCTCAAACTCTCCGGATGTGATTAATATTGTCCGCTATATCTGATTATAAGATCAAAAAATCGAAAAGCATATTTTGGTTGATAGGTTTTACAGACACCATTTTGGAAAACCTCAGGGTTTTGTAAGAGTTATTTCGAGTGTCTTATAAACAGAATATAGAATAGCTTAAATACTCTGCATTCTGAAGTTTAGAACTTCTTTTGATATTTTTTGAGTGAATAGTGAATTTTTTAATATTAGGTGAAAACTGCCTGAAAGCCCTAATTTTCGTAAAACTGGCTTTTCGGTAGATTTTTAAAACTTCTTCTAAAAATAAATATTGCCGCGAGACTCAACATGATTGATTATCCATAGTCCATCCGTCTTTAAGGCTACCAATAGTCACCGGGTGCCAGTCCTGGGACTCGTCCGAAAAGCGGAAAAGCAAGATCTCCCTTCACTCCCATTTTGAAGCGAAACCCCGGGCTATCAGCCCATGAAAAAAAGCAATACAATCTTTTCAGAAAACTGTTCTAAAAACAATATTGGTTATGAAAACCTGCCTCCAAGTCCCCTATTTCGAATGGCGAAAACCGACGCTCTGTGGCTCTTTCTATCAAAAGGTATTAAAAAAACATGCAAGTGCATTGTATTTTGGCGCCGATAATAGTAAAAGAAAAAACTACTGGTGGAATTCCATATAAAGAAGGTAGCTCAATAAATTGGAATAGTTTGAAAGCCTGTAAAAGGTTGTATCAGACTATTGCAGAAGCAGCAATCCGTCGATCATGCTAATATTCATGTCTTGTGGCCAAACTTTAAGTTGAACAAAATATTTGAATAAGCGGGATTGTAGATCAACCTGAGTTCTACAAAATGAGACGTACTGCAACTTTGACAAAGATGTAACTCTTATATAGTGAAACGCTGTATTAAACGCTGTATAAAATACTCAATTTTAGGACTTGTAGGAAAATGCCTGCAGCTTTTAGATGCAAGGTCATATAGAGTTGTGCTAGGTCTTATTTTGATCAGAAACGTTTGCTCTACAAATATGTGTGTTCAGAAAATTTTTAATTTTATAAGTATCCAGAAAAAAGCTATTATTTGAAGATCCGGTTTTCCGAGGCTGTTAGAAAACGTGCTCACAATCCCGGAAAACTCAATTTTTTGTTTTTTTTGTCTAAACTTTATTTATTTATTGATGAAAAAGCAATTCTGTAACCAAAAGTAATACAGATTCTAAAAGTAGACACATCAGGCTACCTTTCCATGTGCTTATCTCAAAACCAATTTTTTGACAGCAGATCACAATTTCTGAGGGAGGGTTGGGTGGCCTTTAAAAGAAGGAAAACGTATGGGTGTCCTTTATCACTCGTATTTTTTGATTATTAATAGCTCTGTTTCAAAAATTCTATTACGTTACAAAATATTTATGTTTTTAATCGTTTTATGAGATTATGTTTCACTAATCTCTTTGATAAGTAAAATATGAAACAAAGATTAGTCTATCTTTTGGAAAAATGGTTTTTACTTCATTATGTTTTTTAGCCATTTCTACACATATTATCTCCGATTATCATGACCCGAAGAGAAAGCTGGAAAGTTATGGTAGTGCAAAAGAATAGTTTATCTGGCCGTTGCATATAAAAGAATAAAGTATGATTTATTAAACGTTAATCACTAATATTGAGAACCACATATCTCAAAAACTAAAAGAGATCTTTTTTTAGAAAATACAACGGTACACAGTGTAACTTGTGTACTTCATACTCGTATAAGAAGTGGAAAAGGTACTCTCCAGTTGATTTAATTTTAATTCATGAAATTGGCAGAATATCGGACGATTCTGTATGCACACGAAAGTGCATTGACAGCTGTATCTCGCAGAAACAGATACGATTATAAAAAGACTTTTTTCTGTTTTGTCACACCGAAAGATCGGCGGTGGTATGAATTTTCAGAAAGTTTCTTCTCCTCCGGCCACAGTAAATGGCCGGTAGTAAGGCGAGAAAGAAGAAAAGAAAGAAACAACGTAACAGAAAAACATGGTTTAATATAAACAGTGATGTAATATATACAATGTTGTCACAGGATGGCATGATGAGATAATGACTATATGGAATACATTTCCTGGAATGGAAATGTTTCTTTTATATAATCACACAGTAATACATTGGCGCTGCAGTATCTCTGTCCACTTTGGGTCTCGGGACCTAACATTAACAGCAATCAGAAATACGGATAGAACTTTCATGTGTACTCAATTCAAATTATCTTAGAATTTCAAAGAGATTTTCTGCAGTGCTACACCCTTCTGAATTTTTGAAAATAGCTCTGTGTAAACTCCAGTCTACCGTAAAAAGAGTGCATTTTAAAAAGCAAACAGGCTGCTATTAGAGCCTAATTAATCCAAGAAGCTGTTTTGTGTCAATCATTGGACGAGTTCTTTCCCTGTGATATAATATAAATATATTACTTTTTTGTTTGCTTCTGTTCCAGGTATTTATGTTCGCTTTCAAGACAGTTTAACATCAGAAAATGTTTACATAAGCTTGGGTTTCCTAAACAACGTGTTTATCTCCAACCATAACTAAACAAAAAATAGCCACTTGGAAAAAAGTGTTCAACTTTTGATTATTTTCGCAATTCTTGAGCAATTCTGTTTTAATTGGAGTAGTTACCATGATATAAGTTCGGCCTGAAAGCTTCTCCAAAACAAAATTATACTTACGAAGGTGCGTAAGCATGTTGAACTCAGATTATTGAACTCACAGCTCTAAGATGATTACATGTCAATATGTAAGTGGAATCAATCTGATTTAGAGCATAAGTATCATCTTTATTGAAGCATATATAGTTATTAAGTTGAATCAGAATTTAACATAACGAAGATGAGAATAGACATACACTCGGCAAACTTTTTACTTTAACGAGTATGTTTGTGACTCTTTGAAAGTCGATGTGATAAAATATTTCTGATGTAGAAATTTAGAGCAGCGAGTCTTCTACACGATGTAATCGTGGAGATGGTTTTCGCCGGTTTTTCACCGGTTAGGATTATAATCCAATGGATCGGACCTGTTCCAGCTCTGATTGGGTCTATCACTGACGTGATCTATCATAGATTAGCTGATCAAAAGGTACTTCTTTAATCATAGACAACGTCGCTGCTAATAGGTCTATCACTTTTCATAATGATCTGGATCCTTGTATAAAACTGTTATGCTTGGGGTATTAGAGCTCTCTGTCTTATTCGAAATGAATGAAGGAAGAAGAAGAAGAAGTAATTAAGTTTTATAATTTTTGTAAGGTTAAAAGTGAGAAGAATGAATCAACTTTTTTGAAGTCTGTCTCCATCATGATTCAATTTTTCGTTCGTTAATGATAAATGATAACTAGTTTATTAATTTACGTCTATTAATTAATTTACCTCTCTACCAAAGTAATTTTAAGAACTCCGTGAAAAGGAAAGAAAAAAAATGAATAAGAACAGGAATAATGAGGTGCACTAAACGATTTGCAAATAGTAAATTAAACTTATTGATTACACGATGAGTAATGAGTATATGTACCGTAAACCCCGTTCTTCTAGCTGAATGTCCTTAATGGTTTAAACGTCATTGGAAATTCCATTTGAATGAAGCTATGACAGTAGATACTGCAATGCATTACTTTTGTTTTAGTGCATGTTATTCCAGAATATTCGACTATCAAAAAACGTTTAAAAATATTGATATATCTCTAGATATCTGTCAAAAGTATGTTAAACGATGAAACAATTGTACAACTTTCTCATTCGACGGCATGGTGTCTATTAAGATTAAATAATTATGATAAAACTTTAAAATATGCTAATAAATCAATTGAAATTCGAAAACAAATATTATTATTGATCCATCTAGATAAGGCCGACTAGTATATTAGCATTAATTTATTTAAAGCAAAAACAATATCAAAAATCTACGGAGCATTGTAAAATGGTATTAGAAATATCTAAACAGTTGATTAGCCACGGTGATAAGATTGAACGTACGTATTAGCGGTGAAATTTATATGGATCAAAATGATATGAAATAACCACGAAAGTATTATAAGAAAACGCTGAAATATTATAAACCAGACTATGTAAATGATTATCCGGATATTAAATGTATATAGAATATAGTTGATGGACTAACAAGAAAGTCAAGTAGTTGAAGACATAATATTGTTTAAATATGTTCGTTTAATAAAAATGTGATATGTATGTGAAAGTGGACAGAAAATTAATTTCGCGCCCATTATCCACTATGAATTGTTGTTAGATTTTTTGCCGGGGAGATCGAGTAGCAATAGTTGTACCGTTACATGGAATACTACGACAAATACCATAATTACTACAGCTTAATAAATCAACACAACAAAATGATAGTGGTCGAACTGTACCCGTTGGTACCTGTACTGTGAATGTTGGCAATTTAAACGTTGGTACCGTTATTTTGGGAGCAGTGAATGTTGGAACAGTGAATTTTGGTACTGTAAATGTTGGAATTTTAAATGTTGGAACAGTGAATTTTGGCACAGTGAATGTTGGAACAGTGAATTTTGGTACTGTAAATGTTGGAATTTTAAATGTTGGAACAGTGAATTTTGGTACTGTAAATGTTGGAATTTTAAATGTTGGAACAGTGAATTTTGGTACTGTAAATGTTGGAATTTTAAACGTTGGAACAGTGAATTTTGGTACTGTAAATGTTGGAATTTTAAATGTTGGAACAGTAAATTTTGGTACTGTAAATGTTGGAATTTTAATTGTTGGAACAGTGAATTTTGGTACTGTAAATGTTGGAATTTTAATTGTTGGAACAGTGAATGAAGGAGGTTTAACTGGACAAATACATATACAATCGGGAAAATCTGGTAATATTCCGTATGGATAGTCAGATTGTTGTTCTCCGTAATCAGGTATACCATCGTCATTACCTTGAAGGCTTGTAGTTCCGGGAAATTCCCACACAGGTGCTCCATCATAACAGCAGCTCACGACACATAATATGAACAAGACCTGAACCAACTGCATCTTAATGGTGAGAAAATTGGTGAGAAATTTTGAATCAAAAACAAGTATAGTAAAAATAACGTGTGACACAAAATGTTTTTCGGTAAGACTTGAAAATATCACATTCAGTGTCATCGGTTTTTTGCATGCATGACTGAATTATTCTCTTTCGTTATACTTGTGCAATATAACGTCATACATCGTATTTTCGGAGAACATGCAATATATGCGCATGTAAATAATATAATTACTAATAGTCTCGATTATACCACAGATAGCCGAACCATTTGTCTGAAAGTCGATGCTTAATAGTGTGAAGGCTATGGTCTGCTCGTGACCCACGCCAAAAATGTCCTACACAGGTGCAAGTAAGGCCTAAACCTCGAGGTTTCCACTACGAAACAATAAAAAAATTTAAAAAAAACAATAAAAAAAACATGCATTAAAAAGAATGATTGAATGTACGAACGTGGATAGTCTAATTGACTTATTGAGCAAAAAACGTATATCGAAAACAGTATACGAGAAGGTGAAACCACCGCAGGACTGTGAGTTACCTCATTCATATTATAACCCGAAAGACCATAAACCAGGCGCACCATTGAGACCAATAGTAGCACAGATAAAATCTCCTTTGGCACGTATATCACACTTTTTAGACAAAATATTGATATTGACCGATATTTGAACAACATACGGCTCATTATACATTAAAGAATACAGATGCGTTTTTGAACCATCTCGAAAGGTATTCCATGATTGAAGATACTTTTCTGGCCACTTTTGATGTAACTGATTTGTATACTATGATCCCTCAAAAACAGTCAGTTTCGGCGTTATGTAGACTACTAGCAGTGCGTAGAAAGTTTAAAATTGGTAACACATCAACTGATAATTTCGCAAAGTTGTTTCGACGTGTGTTAGACAACTCTTATTTTGCATATGGAGAAAACCTCTTCAAACAAATAAAGGGAGGTGCCATGGGCAGCGCTGTGTGTAACTGTGTATAACTGTGTATAACTGGTTTTCAGCAGTCTGCTGTGCTAAGAAGTCTTTCTCCCATTCATACATATATACGTCTGCCAATATATGTATGAATGGGAGAAAGACTTCTTAGCACAGCAGACTGCTGAAAACCAGTTATACCTGCGTTTTAGAGACGACATTTTTATCGCCTCAAGGTTGAGACTAGAAAAACGTGAGGAGAGATTAAAATTTTTCAATGAAAAGGACCCACATATAAAATTAACATATGAGATAGGCAAGACCTGCTAATTATCTGGATGTCACAACTTTTGTACGTTGCCCGACGGCACGAACGATGGATGCAGATGGATCCAATGCTTGCGTGTTCACTCCTATGAAAAATGTTCCATAGCATACCGACAATCAAACTCTTCCTTTTTACCAACTTCCAGACTAATTCTGACTGGATATACGGACATTTCGAACTAGTCATGACGGCCGTCAGTAATTTTTTGCTTAAATTTTTAAAAGTCATTAAAAAGTGATGTTAATTGTTCTTCACACAACCTGTTCCAACACACACCTTTCGGAAAATAGTAAGGAAATATTAAAATAAAGTTAAATAATAATAATTTAAGTTCAACATTATTATTTTTATATAGTTTTCACCGTTCATCAATCAGTTGTCGTCTACAGCAGTGTCAACTTCCGCAATTCCGTGGAAATTCCTTTAGAATTCTGCAGCACTGCAGAATTCAACCACGTTTGTTGTATATCTACAACATTAGGTATTGTATATATGTAAAAATTAGATGTTCTGCTCGTTAATGGCCCATACTGCGCAAAAATCAGTACATTGTAATTATTTTCCACTTTACAGAAAATCGATCTGGAAAATCGCCAATAATTTTCCAACCTTTATAAAATTAAACTTTATAAAAATTTATCCCGCAAAGCGATTCGCTCTTGCTAATATTCCTCATTTTTATGTCTGAATTTAGCATCTTCCAAAATGTACTTGGTTCTATTAACTCAAAGACATGATCCTAACAATTCACATTTATTTTCTTATTTTTGAAATGAAATAACAGTCGTTCAACACGTGAGCGATATCGAATTTGGTTTTCATTAGTAAAAAATCCATATTGTCATTCAATAAGCTGAAATAATACACCCCACTCAACTTCGAAGTTCAATAGCATTTAATAATGGTGAAAAAGTTTATCTTCAGCCATTTTCACTTTGCAAACCTCTTATCAGCATTCTCACTCAAATTGTTCTTCCTCATCGTCTAGAAAATCGCTGAGGATTTTCTATTAATAATTTCCCACAATGTAGAGAATCGATGTCGATTTTCCACATTATTGGAAATTCGATTTTCTATAATCTGGAAAATCTGTGAGGATTTTATATATGAACTTTTTGAAAGTCACCGAGCATTTTCTACAAATAATTCCCGACTTTACAGTGTAGAAACCCAGAACGTTTTCTGCAGACCTTGTGAAGATCTTCCAAAGTAACCATCAGACTCGGAATGTCGTTAGATAACTCTTGTTCAGCACAGAAATCTCTAAGACATTACTCACCACGAGAATAACTTTGGGATTTTTTGAAGAATTAATAGTCGCTATACACTACCTGGCTTAGCAAAACAAAACGGTGATTATGGAAAAAAACCTAGCTCTGATCTCAACTTGACCAGTGTCTGTTTCTCAGAAAATATCAAGATCAGACAAAAAAGATTAAGATCGGACCAAGATTTACTGTTTGACTGATCAGTAGGAAAAACAGACTATTTTGATCACTTTCTTGTTCTGATCTTGAAGCTGACCAGAACAAGAAGAGAAAAACAGGGAACAGACACCTGTAAGTAAATAAGTCTTTACTCCAATTTCAACACCAGGACATTCTCTAGGGTTATCAGTGTTTGAAAGGTGCCGCAAGATTATGGAGACACAATGGATTTTAGTTTTACATATGCCTTAGATAGTTAGATCAGCGACGCGTTGACTCAGGTACGATGTTCCTATATGAGGAAACCCCTGTGAACCCCTGTGAAATATGAGGGAAAGAATTTTGTCTTCCTATAGTATGTTACTGATGAACAGTCAGTATTTCTATTACCAGTCGTTTTACGCCATTCTTTCATAACTTATTTTCGTCAACTTATCGTTGAATCATGTCTAATGGAGAATGAAGTAACAAAGAATAAAAGAGAAAGCAATATTTTATTTCTGTAGAAAGGGAATATATTTTCTTCGTACGGAAGAAAAAATAATTTTCAGCGAGAATGAAAACAATAGGATACAGAGAAGAGATATAAATACGATGCGGAGGAGAAAATGGATGATTTTAAATTTCATCGATATCAGCTGTAACATCAAACAGTAAGTGGTAACGATATTCGACTCTTTATGCACAGAAATTTGTATTAGAAGACCCCTAAAAAATTTGTACGCTAGAATATAACAGAAGACCACGCGTCTTTTATTATGAGGGGGGATGTAAACGTTTTTCAGATACCTACTCGGATGAGCATAAAAAAGTGATATTTGGTAATTCTAATGTAACAAAATGTAGCAGATTTTGTCTGCTTTAATAGATATATTCAGCATGGGGGCCAAAAACATAAATTCTGATGTTGTTAAAAATTCATGCAGTATTGATAAAGTTTTGTAAAACAGCGAACAGAATGTCATAACTCAGATATGTGCGATGTATACTTTCTTGTTTTTAATATCATCTCCCGTCAATATTCTCCAGTTCAGTGCCGAAACGAACGGAAAATTTTGATTTAAAAGTACGATTACCTCTTTTTATCTCGCTTGGTTTAGTCGTTTTTTCATTACAATAGTCTAAACATATTTTAGATTTTTCTAGCAAAACCACGTATAACTACCAAAATCAGTTCTTATAATATCGGTGTATATGTGATACTAACTAATACCAGGAAAGATGTGACTTACACATCGTAGGAACAAAGTTTCGAAAAAATAGAACATTGTTATAAGTTCATATAAGTGATGACACTCTTTACTACGTTTATTTTGTTAAATAGTAAATGAGAGATCCTACTGCTATTGGGATAGGTAATCCTGGGATACATACTCGGCGTTGAATAGATTGTACATAAGAAAATACTAGCGCATGTAAAACAGAAACACTAAATATAATTGCAATATACTGTTGAAACTTTACAAAAAAGGTGTAAGGAGTAAAGCTTTAAAGTGGATAGAAGATTATCTGAAAGATCGTACTATTCAGACTATGGTTGACGGTAAAATGTCTCAGAAACAGCTGGTCACAAAAGGAGTGCCACAAGGATCAATTCTTGGTCCTTTATTGTTCTTGGTTTATGTAGACGATCTACCAAGCAATATAGAAAATACTGTGAGATTATTTGCGGACGATGTAATTTTAATAAATCATGAGGATGATCCTCTAAATTGTGCGCTAAAGTT